AGAGAGAGAGAGAGAGAGAGAGAGAGAGAGAGAGAGAGAGAGAGAGAGAGAGAGAGAGAGAGAGAGAGGAGGAACCAGTTGAACAGTCTAGGCATGAATCTCCTCTGTATCAGCAGCATGAAGGTGCTGTTTTCAAGGAACCACTTGTTGGTTCTTCAACTCTTTGGAAACAAAGTTCACATCAGAAATGGCAGAAGACAGCCTTGTTGACAAGACCGACTCTCATCTGAAGCACAGGTGTGTGTTTCCTTCTGTAAAAACAGCCTCTTTGTGTCATTTATATCTTCTTAGGAGCCTCATATGAAAACTATTGCGTAACATTTCAAAATGTGGCACATCTTTATTTTTGATTAAAGCAAGTGAAGCTATAAACATGAGCCTAACACTTTGTCCTGCAGGTGAAAGATGACCTGATGTGTTGTAACATGTTTACGCTCTGTAAACAGGATGTTGACAGATGCTGTCAGAAGATAAGATATATATATTTTTTGCTCCAACTGCTGTGTGTGGCAATAAAAACGGTGAAGATGCATTTTGAGATAAGATGTGAACTTCTGCTTGCAAACCAAATAAGGAGGCAAATATAATTTTAAACTGCATGTCAGCAGGAGCTTTAAAGAGAAGCAAGGAAGTGAAAATGAAACAAACGAAGGCGGCGTTTTTCACGCTTGACTGTAAAAAAAAGGTCTCCTTTCAGATGCAGCGAGGCAGGAACGTGTGACAGAAAACTAACCTCTGCAGGGTTTGCTTTCATCTTCAAAATAAAGCTGATGTGTGTGGACAGGCTTAAATTTTACACAATTACTGCTCAGAAAAGCCCATAAAATGTAACTCCAGAGATCATTTTATCTTCTAAATTTAATACTTTCCACACGTTAGTCAAAGCAGTAACAGCCCTAATGTCTGAAAGCAGAAGTAATCTGTTTGTCTAGTGTCAAAGGAACCGAGAACATATTTGTTAGATTTAAAACTTGTGGCCTAACTGAGAGGCTTTTAAAGGGGCAATATCAACTTTTTTGAGTTTTATATCATGTTATAATGTTATACTCTCATTAAAAAAAACATGTCCAAAGCCTTGCTCTGACTCATTCACGCATGTTTGAGAAATCCTGCAGCGTTTTTAGGAAGCCATGCTGAGGAGCAAAACGACAGGTGGGGACCAGAAACTCCTCTGGGACGTGTCCTTAAGCCTAACTTCCTCATGGCAGAGCCCCACCCCCCCACCCTCTTTCACCACGCACCCTGCCCATGACTCCTGCAGGCTCTCAAAAGTAGGGGTCTCTGCAGACGAGTGCGGACCAGTGGGCGTGTCACAAGGAAAGGCGATTCTAAAGCTACACACCTGATTTGACGGACTTTGTTAAAGGGACACACCTGACTGGACAAGAACAAAAGGGGCGTTACTGTACGGCACCACTTTTTCAGGAGAACCCTACTTGGGTCACATTTCTCCTGGTTAACCTTAGTGTTGGGGTCAGGGTCAGGCTGTAAAGACATCAAGCAGGATCTAAGGATACCATTATGTAGGCCTTGTAGCCCACAGTGTTTCTGCTTTAGACACGCCCACTCTTGTGACACGCCCACTTTGATTCCGCAGATAACCCCTTCTTGGCTCTCGGGTGAAACTGAAAGTGAAACTGAAACTGTCTGCTGAGCTCCTTCTCACTCAGCGAAGCTCTTTTCAGATTCAAAATACCTTTTGAGGAAATGTATTTTCAGATTCCAAGCAATTTGCATCATGGCGCATGCATGAAACCCCCCCACCCCCACCCCACCCACACACACACACTGAAATGGGCGGGACAGAAGCAGAAGGTGGTTTTTAAAGCGACAGAGGCCAATTTCAAGGCGTTTATAAGAGGAAGTGATGAGAAGATAAGTTTGTTTTCTCTTTAAACATAAAAACAGCATTTTAATAACAGCTAAAGGTGACATAGATAGTTTGTTATGGTATAGTATTTAAATGTATGCCTGAGAAACACGTAATATTGCCCCTTTAAAAAAAAGTGCATGTATGGTGTCACATTCTGTATGTTGAACCATGTAAATATGAAACTTTTCTGCCTCGTTTTGCCAGAGCGCTTTTTATAAACCTCATTTGAAGTGGCACAGTTCCAGCAGAACTTGTTCTTTGTTTAGCGGATTAGCTTTTCTGCTAAATTTGAAAACTGTTCGCGGACCATTTARCTTCGCTTCAGTTCAACTCTATTAATTTATAAAGCACCAAGTCACAGTAAACGGTCTCAGGGCACTGTACACAAAAAATATATAAGTCTAAAGAAGCCAGCAGATTGTGTTGAATCACTCCGTCACAGTCTCCCATCCTGAGCAGCACAGTGGCGACAGTGGAGAAGAAAAACTCCCTTTTAACAGGAAGAAACCTCCAGCAGAACCAGAACAGGCGACCATCTGCCTCGACGGCTTCTGATAAATTAGGAACATTAATTCCATCAAAATCTAATWAACAAACTAACATCAACAGGTTTKTGTCAGTCCCACCAGTTTTCAGCTCSAAGGGGACAAAGACGYCACMGCTTAGCRGTTAGCAATTAGCTGTGCTAGCTAAATCTCTACTTGTTTGTCTGYTTAGCATTAGCTCTCACTAAGACAACTGAGTGACAGCCATGTTAGCAGTAAGTGATCAGCTGTGAGTTAGCTTCTGCTAATTTTTTTACTTGTTTAGCATTAGCGCTCGCTTAGGCGACTGAGTGGCTGCCATCTTTGCGGTTAGCAMTTAATTGTTAATGTTAGCTTCCGCTAGTTTTTACTTGTTTATCTGTTTTGTGTTAACTTCCACTAAAAAGACTGACAGTCATCTTAGCRGTTAGCTATTAGTGTTAGCTTAAACTCATCTTTATTTAGTTGCTTAGCGTTAGCTTCCTCTAAAAAGACTCTGTGACAGTCATCTTAGCAATTAGCAATTAGCTGTTASTTTTAGCATCCTCTAGTTTTTAGCTGTTTAGTGTTAGTTTCTGCTCATTTTTTCTCTTCTTTTTTATGTTTGGCTTTAGCRAAGCTATATTTTAGTTAGCAAATTATGAGTTAGTGAAGTCAACTTTTTGTTTAGCTGTATCTACCACTGCTGATTTGATATAATGACTGGTCACTTATTTACCTAAAAACAGGACTTTTAGTATAATGACATGGACAATAGACTTAAACAGTGAAGTTAAACATTTCTTCAACCAAAATAACACCACCTGAAATAATCTCCAGTATTTGCATTAAGCAAATTTATTCAGAATCCTTGATTTCGAGGCATTCACTAAAGAAAACAGAAAAAAAAAAACGCTTCCAACGTGTGGGAGTCAAAAAGGTTTGAGCTTATCGTTGCATAACGTTGAACAAATATGTGTTGTAACAGCAAAGGAGCAGAGCAACAAATTAATTTAAAAAAATCCAGATTTGTTCTCATCTAAACCACAGCGTGTACACGTGGAAGAGAGAAAGACTTTTTCATTAACTTTGCTGTTAAACTCTTTTCCTCTCCTTCAGGATCTGGTGACCTCAGAGATGCTGGAGGACCAGGATCAGGACTGTCAGGTGACAGAGGAGATTGTGGTGGACTTGAGAGAAAACAGAAATGACCAGGTGTCCAACAACAACAGATCCACTTGGTTGAATGGTAAACTGTCTTTATTTGGCCTATTTTATATTAATAATCTTAGTAGATAATGTTAAATATTAAATATTATTCTGTTTTCAGTTTTGTTTAAGATATTATTTCTGTTCTTTTAGATGGATTTAAATTATATTTAAACAGATTTCAGTGATGTCTCTCATTTTCTACTGTTTTATGACACAATTGTTATTTATAATGTTATCTTTGTATTTTTGTCAAATCGTCATTTTCATTATTGAAGCGATCGTCTCTGTCTCTGTCAGGTCAGTGTGTCGTGGCGATGTCCAGCATTTCAAACTTCAACCCCACCTTTGACCTGTCTCTGTGTCGCGCCAAACTAGAGAGGAAAGGTTTCAAGGTTGGTGTAAGCCATTTAAACCAGTTCATCTGAGGTATGTGTTTGTTTTTACTTCCTGTTAATTGTCCCAGCAGATTCCAGTCACTGACATGGAGCTTCCTCTGAAAACGGCCCTGGATGTTCCCTCCGTCAGAAGATTTATGGTTTTCAACTCGAGTTTCTTCCACTTTCTAATGGCACCGGTACATAAACTCACTAATTCTGCTTACTGCTCTTCTTGTTTGTGTTTCTGACCATTAGCTAAGCTGTTGAAGCTAATCAGCTAGTAATATTTGTTTACTTTGCTTCCATCAGGTGGTGTACGTGGTGGTGTGGTGCGCCGTCTTCTCCACCCTCCACATGTACATCAGTGTCAGTGACTTCTGGGTCCTCTGTCTCTCCGTCAGCCTGGTCTCCATCCTCCTCACCACCGCCGTCATCTTCATCCTTCATCACTGCAAAAAGGAGGTACGTGCCACTGATAAAACTGTTCGGATTCATCGTTCGACGAGTAAAAAGCCAAACGTTTCCGGTTCAGATCAACATCAACGTAGACGTTCGGTTGGTCCGGGTCAACGAGACGATGGCGAAACACAAGCTGCTGGTTGGCGTGGCCGACTGGGTGAAAAACTGCACTGGAAATATGCAGGTTTGTTCCCAAAATTTAAGATGAGTCTTAAGTAAAACACAAAAAAATTGCACCAAAATGCCAAAAGATTTATGTGAATGTGTCCATATTTGACCCTGTCTGGTTATTTCTTGTGTCTTTGCAGTTGTACTTTGTGTACTGGGACATGTCCTGCTGTTTGAAGACACTGAGCTGCTTCACAACACCTGAAACTCAGGTGAGACTCAAGTCCATCTGTACTTCCAGGCTCTTTAAGGGAACCTCGACTAGTTGTAACATAAGACGGTATTGTAAAAACATTTACTTCAACTATAAAAATTAGATTAGACTGTATGACGACATAGCGTTAGCTTCTCGAAGTAATATATAAATATACAGTGGGGAAAA